CGGGAGGCGGAGGTTGCGGTGAGCCGAGATCGTGCCATTGCACTCCAGCCTGGGTAACAAGAGCGAAACTCCGTCTCAAAAAAAAAAAAAAAATAACAGTAGTTCATGGAAGAGACAAATTAGACAGGACTGGAGTTGTTATGGAAGGCTTGATTCAGGAGGTGGACATTTAGGAGTTTTTTGTATGTTAAACGGGCAACAAGATCAACTTGATGCTTTACAAAGAGGATTCTGGTGCATTAAGAAGGAAGGTTTCAGAATAGTAAAACTGGAGGTGGAAGAAACATATAGTCTTTTTCTTGACAATAAAGTTCTCTTCCTCGAGACTTCTAGTGAAATTTTAAGCACTACAACTCAAGGTAGCGTGTTACTGTAACTGTTCCATATCCTGTATTTTCTTTTTAACCTAAGTTTCTAAACAGTTGAAAGAGCTGAAAAGCTATTCTTGCTACCCAGTAGGAGGAATCTTGACTCTTCTCCTCTACTGTTCAGTTAGGCATTTGGCTCTTTGAGGTCTGAGATTTCTTCAGAGGGTAAAAGAAGTTAATTCCCTTTTTTGTATCACAATGGCAACAGGAAACTGCAAAATGGGTGGGTTAAACTTTTATTTTTATAGCTTGACACCATCAAGGTGATCAAATTGTTTTCTTTTCTTTTTAGAGAGAGAAATGGATGAAGATGGGGTTGTTTTAGGACTGGGGAAGAATGTCCCTGTATATACAATGGCCGGAGACGTGGGGTTCTGTTAGGACTGGGGAAGAAAGAGGCTGGTTCACCACGTGGAGGTTGTTGGAGGTTCTGCACAGTCCCAGGAACATAAAGGGTACTTGGAGCCCAGCAGTGGCCCTGTGATGCATTAGGATTCTCTGTGGGAGCAGAGGAGAATAAAACAGCATAGGCTTCACCCTGTGCCTGAACCTGGCATGGGAGAGAGGAGGTGCCTGTCTTGGAATGACCTGCTTAGGCCCTCAAAAGGGGCAGACACCACTAGTAACCACTGCAGATAGATGACCACTCCACCTGACTACACCACCTTCTTTTTCTTTTCTTTTTTTTTTTTTTTTAAGACAGAGTCTCACTCTGTTGCCCAGACTGGAGTGCGGTAGCATGATCGCAGCTCACTGCAACCTCTGCCTCCAGGATTTAAGTGATTCTCCTGCCTCAGCCTCCCAAGTAGGTATGACTACAGGCATACATCACCACACCTGGCTAACTTTTGAATTTTAGTAGAGGTGGGGTTTCGCCATATTGGCTAGGCTGGTCTCAAACTCCTGCCACAAGTGATCTGCCCACCTTGGCCTCCCAAAGTGCTGAGATTACAGGCGTAAGCCACCACACATAGCTGACTCCACCTTCTTCTAGATTTAATTTGGTTCAAAAATAAGTAAAAGGTATGACACAGGCTGAAAATAATACAGTGAGTCATTCATTTGGCAGGAAGCTATAATATTTCAGGAACAAACAAGGACCAGTGACTACAGAAAGGAGATCATGGGAGGATCAAGAGCAGGAGAGCAGCCGTGATGGAAATTCTTAAGAAGCAACTGACAGGGCTTGAAGCCCTGGGAAATGTGGAGGTAATGGAGGGACATGATTCAGAGGTGTCACGCTGGAGTAACACAGAGAGTAGTAAAAACCAAATGAGTCTTAAAGCTTAATATTAATGAATAAGTTGGGCATTATTTTCCACACAAAGAAAAACATGCAAAATAAGTTATATTGCTTACATGAGAGGATCGCATACCAAAATCCCATCAGAGAGACAAGTAGGTCATCAGGTTCAAAGAATAACTAGATTTATGAAGGCAAAATGGATATCTTGCCTTGCTTCTATTTGAATAAATGTGCTACCAACGATCCACCATCACGGAATGACATGTGAAAAAGGGAAATCATGGTGCTCGCTTCGGCAGCACATATACTAAAACTGGAATGATACAGAGAAAGATTAGCATGGCCCCTGTGCAAAGGTAACCCGTAAATTTGTGACATGTTCCATATTTTATTTTTTAAAAGAGAAAAGCTTGTTGCCCAGATCAAAACGATACAAAACAAGACTCTACCACTGCCACTGCCACAAACAGTCACTCTTTCTTGCTAAAGTTCCCAACAGAAATGAATCCTTGGGCCATTAAATTACTTAGTCTCTACAACATCTCTGACTTTTGCAATACTGATAAGAGACAACCATCGGTGATAATATAATAGTGTGGAAAAAAGACTATTCTCATCATCGATGGACTAACTGCAACCTCGTAGCTCTTCTATCATTTCCACTGCATGTGTGTGCGCTTCCTTGAAATACCTGTATTTAATACTTGGTGAACCAGTTTTCTAAATCCATATTTCCTTGAAAAACTGCAAGTAAAAAATATTTTCTCTTTGCAATGCTTCATTCTGGAAGTCTTCTGTTAAGCATTGTTGGGTACGCTAAGGTAGCCCCATGGACTCACTCAGGAGATTTAACAAACCATGTTGCCCAAGAAAGGCACTCCTTACAGAATGCTTGTGTAGAAAGGAGCTGGTGGCGATTTCACGGTGAGGTCACAGCCTCGCTCTTGTTGACTGCTCCTGTGTTGTGTTTGTGACTTTCTATTTCTGTTTCTGAACTAAGCCTGTTTTGGTTTTTGATGTGCATATTACCACTTGGTTTTCCCATTGGTGGCAGGAAGGTTGAGTGGTGGTCTCATGGTCTAAACACCTGCATTCTCTAAGGAAGCAGCCGACTTGAGTCCCTTCCTACACTGATTATAGATCTCTTCTGATCGCTGATGCAGTCCTGTGTGGAGGCGGTCTTTGTTAGGCACCATTATAAACTTAAATGTCTCAAACTGATTAGAGAAAAAATATTTTTTTCAGAAGGTCAGCTGGACTATAGAGCAACGCTAGATGAGAAACATCATGACTCCTTTGTCTTTGAGGTCTCAGTAGTTCTATGACCTTCCTGCTTCCTGAGCTGCTAAAACTGACCTATGAGTTTTTGCCGTGGTGCTCTGAGTTTATTTTTTTCCAGAAAACTTTTTTATTGCAGTAAAATACATTAAAAATTACCATTTCCAGTATATAGTTTGTTGATATTATGTAGAATCTTATCATTCTACAATCATACATCTCCAGAACTCTTTTCACCTTGCAAAATTGAAACTTTAAAAACATTTAAACAACTCCCCTACCCCTCCCTTCGCTCCCCGGAAAGCCCCATTCTACTTTCTGTCTCTACGAATTTGACAACCCTAGGTACCTCATGTAAATGGCATCATAAAAGATTTGTTTTTGTGACTGAATTATTTCACTTAGCATAATGTCCTCAAGGTTCATCCATGTCATAATATATGTCAGAATGTACATTCTACTTTTTCCAGTCTCACCCTGTGATCCAGGGTGGAGTGCAGTGGTTCAATTTCAGCTGACTGTAATCTCGGCCTCCTGGATTCAGGCAATTTTCGTGCCTCAACCTCCTGAGTAGCTGAGATTACAGGTATGTGCTACCATACCCAGCTAATTTTTTGTATTTTTAGTAGAGACAGGGTTTCACTATATTCACCAGCCTTGTCTTGAACTGGCCTCAAGTGATCTGTCCACGTCGGCCTCCCAAAGTGCTGGCATTACAGGTGTGAGCCACTGCACCTGGCCAGAACTATCTTTTCAAGACTGAATAATTTTCCATTGTGTATATACTATATTTTGCTATTCTTCTGTTGATGAAATACTGGGTTGATACTTCACTTTCACTATTGTGAATAATGGTGTGAACAGGGATGTACAAATATCCTTTTACTTTCAATCTGTTTCTGTCTTTGAATCTGAAGTAAGTTTTCTGTAGGCAACATATAATTGGATCGTATTTTTTTAATGCCCTCTGTCTTTGATTGGAGAGTTTATCCATGTATATTTAAAGTAATTACTAATAAAGAGGATCTTGTTTCTAGCATTTTACTTTGTTTTCCATTTGCCTTATGGCTTATTTTTGCCCCTGATTTCCTACATTGCTATCTCCTTTGTGTTGATTTTTTTGTAGTGAAATGTTTTAATTTCATTCTCATTTTCTTATGTGTACATAGTTTAATGATTTTCTTTGTGGTTACCACAGGGATTACATTTAACACTATGCCATTATAATTTTGAATTTATACCAGGTTAACTTCAATAATATACAAACACTTTGTTCATTTACAGTTTCATCCCACACTTTTTGGTTATTGATGTCACAAAATTACATCTTTGAACGTTGTGTGTACAAAATCATAAATAATTGGTTTTTAAAAAATGAATTAGTCTCTTAAATTATGTAAACAACAAAATGTGGAGTTAGAAGACAAAGTTACAATAATGTTAGCTTGTAGGTTAGTAATTGTTTTTTCTTAAATGTACTGAATCATGCAGAAAACAAAGTAGCATTATAAACCATTGTTAAAACAATATGAGCTTTATAATTGCCTGTGTATTTATCTTTACTAAGATATTTATTTCTTCTTATACCTTTGAATTACTGCTTAGGGTTCTTTCATTTCAACATGGAGGACTCCCTTTAGGATTTCTTACAGAGCAGGTCTACTGGTAATGAACTCTCTTAGTTTCTGTTTATCTGGGAATGTCTTAATTTTTCCCTCACTTTTGCTGGACATAGAATGCCGGGCTGACAGTTTTTTTTTTTTTTCCTTTCAGCACCATAACTATATCAACCTACTGCCTTCTGGCCTTCAAAATTTTGATTAAAAAATCAGCTGATAATCCTACTTTGGATTGCTTGTGTGTGATGAATAACTTCTCTAGATTTTCAAGATTCTTTATCTTTGGCTTTCAGCAATTTGATTGTAATGTTTTTCAGTCTGGGTATCTTTGAGCTTATCCTATTTGAATCTCACTGAATTCTTGAGTGTTTATATTTATGCCTTTCATTAAATTTGGTAAGTTTTTAGCCATTACTTCCTCTAATAATCTCTCTGCCCCTTTCTCACGTTTTTCCTCCTGAGTCTTTCATAGTGTGTATGTTTATCCTCTTGATGATGTCCACAGAACCCTTAAGCTCTGCTCCTATTCTTCTATCTTTTCTCTTTCTGTTCTCCAAAGTCAATAATTTCAATTGTTGTATCTTCAAGTTTGCTGATTCTTTCTTCTGCCTGCTCAAATCTGCTTTTGCATTTCTTTAGTGAAATTTTCATTTCAATTACTGTACTTTTCAGCTCTAAATTTTTTAGGTTTTCTATGTCTTTATTGTCTCCATTTTGTTCACACATCATGTTCTTGACTTTTTCCATATCTTCCTTTAATTCTTTTAACATCTTTAAAACAGTTTCTTTGAAGTCTTTGTCTAGTAGGTCTGCCTTTGTGCCATTTTCCAGCTATGGTTTATGTTTTTGGGTTTCCCTCTGCTTTGAACTGGTCATACTTCCCTGTTTCATTGTACGCCTTGTGGTTTTTGTTGTTGAAACTGAAAATTTGAATGTAATAATGGGTTATCTGGAAACCAGACTCTTCTTCTTTTCCAGGGTTTGTTATTTTTTTGTTTTTATTTTGCTTTGACTGTTTTAGGCTATCTCTGTGCGAAGAATTAGCCTTAAGATCTTCACTGATGTTTTCTGAGGATAAGCGTTTCCCTGGGCATGTGCAATGGTTCTCTTATTTTCTCTTGTATATGCAGTTGCTTTTGAATATGCTAGTCTTTAATGACTGGCTCCCAAAAAGGGAAAGGAAAAAAAATAAAATGGATGAGGAGGGTGAGGGTGTCAGCTCTTTAAATTCTCTGAAAATAACTTCAGCCAAAGATAGAGGGGCTTGCAATCATGGTATGTGTGTGTGCAACAATGGCTGCTTGCCTCTGTGTTTGTATCTGTAGTCAGAAGCAGCAATCAGCAGAAAGAACAGATCCCCAATATTTAGAGGACAGGGTCTTTTGTGCCAACCCTGGCTTCTGACAGCTCTAAGTAAGCTGCTCTAGGAACATATGCACAGCTACCTGTCACAGGGCTGAGGGGTGGGGGATGGGTAGCTACTGCTGAGCTAAGCTGAGATTGACCAAATAAACTGTACTTTACTGTCCAAGCCTTCTGGAGTCTTCTTCAAAAGACTCCAGAGTTTCAAATTAGTTATGCCACTGTGATGGTTAATATTAGGTGTCAGTTTGATTGGATTAAAGGATGCCTAAGCAGCTGGTAAAGTGCTGTTTCTGGGTGTGTCTGTGAGGGTGTTGCTGGAGGAGATTAATGTTTGAATCAGTGGACTGGGAGAGGCAGACCCACCCTCAATGTGGGTGGACACCATCCAACTGGCTGCCAGCATGGCTAGAACAAAAGCAGATGGAAAAAGGTATGATAAGATGCCTTGCTGAGTCTTCTGGCTTTCATCTTTCTCCCATGCTGGATGCTTCCTGCCCTTGAACATCAGAGGCCAGGTTCTTTGGCTTCTAGACTCTTGGACTTAAACCAGTGGTTTGTCAGGGGCTCTTCGGCCTTCAGCCATAGACTGTAGGCTACAATGTTGTTTCCCCCATTTTTGAGGCTTTTGGAGTCAGACTGAACCACTAATCGTTTATGTCTTCATCAGCTTGCAGATGGCCTATCATCGGGCTTCACCTTGTGATCATGTAAGTCAATTCTCCTTAATAAATTCCTTTCACATATACATATATCCTATTAATTCTGTCCCTCTGGATAACCCTGGCTGATAGAGTCTGCCAATGTGATTGTGTCTAGGTGGGGAGGTAGATTCCTGGTGCTTCCCACTTCTCTATCAGCCTAGAATCCTGTCCCCTCTCTGAATTTACTTTTCATCAATGATTGATGATATAAAGGTGAGGAGCTGATTTCTGTGTGATTGGATCTCTGTAGGTTAGTGTGAAAAGAGTTTTTTCCCTTTTGAATATAAAGGGTTGTTTGATGTTTACAATGCTGGAACGTTTTGTCTCTCCTTTCTCTTTTGGGAAATAGTTGGAGCTTAATTTATAGACATCTGTCATTTGTACACTATAAATATGTCTAATTTAAACACAGTCTATCATCAGGGGCA